AAAAAAAAAAAAAAAAAAGAAAGAAAGAAAGAATATCCGAAAGAAAATTGTATCACGGTTTGGGGCTAGTCAACAAGCACCGATAGTGTTTGACTAGTGCTTTGTGGCTGTCGGGAATTTCAGTAGTATAAGGCCATGATTGGGTACAATTATACTGTAATTTAAAAATATCATTCTCACTCATCAAATTAATTTTGATTTGCTATTCATCCATCTACATAAATTTAACTACCATCATTCTTAAAAACTGTTTCTTTACTTTTACATCAAATCAACTTCAATCGTTATATTTTAATATTATTTTAATATAAATTTAAAATCCCAATCAAAAACCTATCCAAATCAACATATTTTATAATTAATTTTGTTTATTCAACAAATCTAATCAAAACCAAAATAATCTATATCCAACCATCCCTGAACCTCAAATTCTATTTGAGTTCTTTATTCTCATTTTTTATGTTCAATGTTATCAGTTAACTTACTCAATATAGCTTATCAGTAGTTTATAAAACATTTTTTACATACACAATCACATTACGAAACATGTATTTTATGAAGTCCCTTATAATTTTTAGTGCCTATGTATTAAATGTCATTTTATTGTACTTTTGAGTAGTCCATGTTGGTTTGGATTTATATATATCAATAACTAGGATATGCTTGGTAAACGTAGGTGAAAAGCTACCTAATATCTAATGTCTTAGAAGCTAGCTATTATGATAAATATTTAATAAAATTAGCTGATAAGTTAATTGAAATAAAATTAATGGACCTTTTTTAAATGCTACTTAAAGAAATTTATGATATAAGCTAAACCTTTTAAAAAGTTTGTTCTACCAAATAAATTCTTTTTGGATTAGAAACTTATAACCTATCAAGATAAGCTATACGCTAGATTATGGTGATTATCATGAAACACACTCCTATTAAAATTTTTAAACATTACAAAATAATTAACTAGCTTAATTATAAATATATTTTAAAAGTTAATGGTTTTGTGCTTATAATCAATTTTTTTATGTATAATATATCAGCTTAATCATCTCTTGATCAACTCCGACATCTATATCGCATATATAAAACAAAAATAATTATATTTATTTTTATTATAAAAATTAAATTATATATTACTACTACTTAAAATTAATAAAATTGTATATCAATTAAATATTATCTAAATTCATTAGAAATTAAATAAAATCATTATTAAAATATAATTCAAGTCAATCGAACAAGTGAAGAGTGTCATTTAAATATAAATAATAATGCATTTTCTTAAAAGTATTTAAATAAAAAACTTCTTTTTTTTTTAATTTAAGTTTAATTTTTTTAACGAATACCTATATAATCCACTTTGTACTAGTATAATAAGTGAAAATTATGTTGTAATTTTGACATTTTGAGGGTGGTAAAAAATCCGTCAAGGGCACTGTGTCTGTATTCACCATTTTTTTTTGTCATTGGACCAACACGTAAATTTACCCAATGAAGTGATCTTGGCCATAAAATGAGGTGGCGCACATTTCATTTGTAGTGTTGTAGCTTGGAAGGTGAATTTTGTCAAGTTTTTGGTTTTCAGTATCCAACTTAGGAAGTGTGAGACTCTCCAATGGACTCCCTAAATCACCTCGTTTTGCTATTTTGAAGAGTCAATTCAACACAGTTTTGCTCTAAGAAGCTCTCTGGAGGTGTTTCTTAAATATTAGAGCTCCTTATATTTTCAAATTACTCAACATCTAACGAGCCAAATGTAGCTCTATTAATTATCATTACCTTTTCCATTATTCGTACAAGATTGTACTCCATTATTGAATTAATAATTATTTGTAAGAGGGAGGTTGTTGGAGTAAAAGTGAAACAAGGAGCCTCATGAAAATATATGTATGGAGTTAAAGTTTAGGGAGAGAAATTTAAAGTGCTTGAAGTGAGACAGTTGGAGTTAATCTGAGTACTCAAGCTCTTTATGTACTACTGTCAAGATTCAAGAAAAGTTACTGTAACATTACATTCTTTTGATTTCAAAATTATTTATTAGGTTGAATATTTTCAGGGCTATGGATTGACTGAGAGCGCAGGTGGTGCAACACGAACAGTGGGCCCGGATGAGGCTAAGCGGTATGGGTCTGCGGGCCGATTGTCTGAGAACATGGAAGCCAAGATAGTTGACCCGGTGACTGGAGAGGCCCTACCTCCTGGACATCGTGGAGAACTTTGGCTGCGGGGGCCCACAATTATGAAAGGTGACAAAAATCAAATTTATAGACTGTCTCAAAAGTTTTGAGTCTGGCCCTGTTCTCAAAAGTCTTGTGTTAAGTGCCGTTTGCAATGTATATATCTGCATGCATATTATATGTAGCTCATTTATTCTATTACTAATATCTATCATCTTTTTGAATACTATCTCTTTGGTGTGAATTTTTGCATGCTGACGTATCTGTGTGGTTGTGAACACTTGGGTACGTCTTTTTGTAGGGCATCATCACTTCAACTTTGCGTAAATTGATTTAAAACTTTTAATTCCATGGTAAAGAGAATTATGAAATGACAAGGTAAACCACTTGGTTTCTTCACAATTTGAAAATTACCAACTAGAGGAAATAAGGAAAGCCTATGGTACCATGTTTGCTATTTCGATATGTAGTTTTCTGGGAATCGTAAGAAAAATGCCAAAAGATTAAATATAATCTCTTCATCGATCATCTTTTTGTCTAACTTGATATGAACATCTAATTAAAATTTTGGGGCGCTTGATTTTTTGAGTTTTGGTAGTGGATATTTTATTGGTTACTGTAAATAGTGGTGGGTATGCCAACTGTAGGTTATGCTGGGGATGATGAAGCAACAAGTTCAACCTTGGACTCAGAAGGCTGGTTAAAAACCGGTGATCTTTGTTATTTCGACCAAGATGGATTTATGTACATTGTTGATCGGTTGAAGGAATTGATCAAATACAAGGCGTATCAGGTGAGCATAATTTTGATCTAGAAATAATGTCTTTCTCATAGTATACGAATTTGATTGCATAAATAAATAAAACCAGTATGCCTTTGAATCTCTGTTCTGTAATTTGTTTTTGTCTTATTGGAAAATGAGATAAAATATATTTCAGGTTCCTCCAGCCGAACTGGAACAATTACTTCAATCAATTCCGGAAATAGCTGACGCAGCAGTTATTCCGTATGCATTTTTCTTGGATCCAATTATTTTTGTCTTCTTAATCATCATTATCTTCATATGCGTTGTTTTTTCTCAATGAATTGCATGCATAATGTTTGTCAAACTGGAGCAATAAAAAAAGTGATACCCTGCATCCAAAAATCAACACGTACATAAAATTTCAGCATTAACATAAACTATTCATGCATCGTTCATGAACATTATATACTATTCGTTTAGTATGATGTTAAATATGGCACATAAACAGATATCCAGATGAAGAAGCAGGTCAGATTCCCATGGCGTATGTTGTGAGAAAGCCTAATAGCACCATATCTGCACCTCAAATAATGGATATCATTGCGAAACAGGCACGTTTTTAATATCACATTCTCTTCATTTCCCTCTCTCCCTATTTTATCACAACATGACGTTAATTAATAAGAGAATAATTTTAAATTGTTCTTCAATTTTACACCTTTTTAACATGCATGTCCCAGTACATTTTTGCCTGAATTCTTCATTTTTGGATGTTATAGTATGTCGTTATAAAATGTTGCATGCAAATTAATACATTGCTCATTTTCTGTTTTGTTCTTCCCTTTTTTGTGGCGATAAAATGAGTGAATCTTTCCTTGAACTCCTCACAGGTTGCTCCTTATAAAAGGATACGACGTCTTGAGTTTCTCGACTCTATTCCAAAATCTCCCGCTGGAAAGATCCTACGGAGGGAGCTGGTCGACCATGCCATTTCTAGAACTTTCTCTAAATTGTGAGTTGAAAAGACAGTGAATATTATTTCCATTCATGCAAATGTGGTCTCATATTCTACTTTATGTATTTCGACTCGCAATTATCTTGTTGGATTTTGTTATGCGATTATATTAGTTCTTCAAAATTTCTATGTATTTGCACAGGGGAATTCATGTATTGTGAAGCGCCCTGTGCAAAAGTTAAAACTAGATGGGACGCTCTCCGTATTTGTAAAAGAGAAGATTTTGAAAGAAAAAAGGTTAAAGAATGATATATATTATTCCTAAAACAAAACAGTAAAACCATAAATCAAGAAGAGAATAAGTTTATTAAACTTCATTTTATGTTCAGTATTGACACAAGTAACCTTGATACAATGTCAACTTTAACTATAAGAGATGGGAAAAAAATCATTGATACATTCCCAAGTATGTCTCCTTGTTGCTTTTAATATTCGAAGTTTATATTTGATCACTTTTCATAACTAATGGTTTACGTCATACAACCACGGTCGGATCTAGAAAAATAAATTGGGGGACTAAATAATTTTTGATAAAGACATATGTTTAACAATAATTTTAGAATAAAAAAAATTACTAAAAAAATATATACCTTTCAAATTTCGCTGCTACTTGAAATATTTGAGAAATGTCTTATTTTTTTAAAAAGAAAAAAGAAAAAAAAAGATGCAGAACATAAAATGTCTTGAGCATCATTGCTAGATAACTAAGTTTAAAGAGCAAAAATGGAGATTCTAAGGTCAAACTAGTCGAATGTTGTTCAAACTATCAACTATGCCTGAAAATTTCATATTTCCAATCGAATTATCAAAACCTAGATTATTCATACATTCAACTTGATTAAGCCTTAAATATAAATTGTTCAAAACTCAAAAAGAAGTAAAGAATAAATAAATAATATCATAAGACACAAATGTAAACAAAAGTACTTATAAATATAATTATCCGATCAGGTGATGAATGCTCAAATCTGTGTTTTTTCTATCTCGACCTGTAGGTAGGGTTGGTTGTGTGATCGACCAGAAAGGACACCACTGGTCTTAGAGCAGGTGATGTTCTATCTCAGTCGATATCGAGCAAGTCGCACTATGAGGCAGTCCAATGAGAAAGACTAAAAGATAAGAAGGAATCTTAAGGGGTGAAGCGCCTGCACGTGGATAGGGTCACATGGCCTAACAGAATTGGGCACTTCAGGTAGTTCGAGAAGCCCAGGCTGTGCTATCGGGTAACTCTGACAGTTTGAGCAATTCGGATAGCTCATCTGGGCAGTATTGGGCAACAAGGTATTACCTCCCTATAAGGGAGTGAGGGTACGCCTACTACCACATTACATTCTCTATTACCCTATATAATATTTGCTGCACTTCATCTTCTACAAGTGCTCGTTTAAGTATTGGAGACTCTTCACTGCAAAACCCCATCGGTGTGAGAGTTTTTGCAGGCACGCAGGCGATCTACTGACAAGGAAGCTTGATCAGCTCAGACCGATTCTAACCGGTCCAAAGTCTTTTGCGTACTAACAGGTTATCATCTCCGCCGTGGATAGCTTCATCTCAAGAGACCAGATTATCAAGCCCAACCAGAGGTTTTGAGAGGTTTATTCAGGTTGAACCAAAGTTATTTGGTGAGACCCCATTAAATAATATATTTGTCAAAATCAAAATCTTTTTTGCAGACCAACTTTGATTTGTCGGCTTGGGTGGTTGCAGTGTTGGTGAAGCTTGTTGGTGGCCGGGAAGGGCTTTACTGTATCCTATAGGTAGTTTTTCTTTTGTCTGTGTGCTAGGCTTATAGATTGTGTTGGTGTCTCTTTGGTATTTATCTGTGTGTGTTTCGACCAATCTTCTGTGTCCCTGTCAATTTCGCATGTTGCAGCCTTGCAAGTAACATAAGATTGGTTTAATTTTATCTTGTACAGATTTTAGTTCCGTCATGTGTAGATTTTTTTTTTTTTTGGTATGTTTTGCTTGTTTTGGGTTGCTTCTTATATTTGACTCCCATGTTGGAAGGAGAGCACGGTTGTGACTCTTCCGATCAACGCCTCACCATTGTATTTAACATATAGATTATTATGTTATATATATCCCATTGAATATGCTTGTGTAATCTTTTTTTTAGTTTCATAAAGTATTTGCCGCTAAAAGAAATCCAATAAAAAGTTAAAAACGCTAAACCCATTGAATATCACAAACTGTACCAATCAACCCATACACGTGGCCTAATCTTCCTTCATTAATATAGTTTACTTCGAATCCTGAGCGTCCACGTACTGAAACTTCCATCAACGTACACGTTGCCCGATCCATGGGCCCCGTTTTGTTACCTCTCATGTCAAAAAAAGGCCACTATTCCTACTCTCATTGGCTGCCAGAACGGCCCAATGTTTCTTCCCATTGGTACCATCTTGCCTAAATCTATCTCTGGGCCCACATCTCCGGCACGTATCAATCTCAACCAATTATATCTCTCGCACGCATGGTGCAGTTATGGTATTTTTCCTCGCACGTGCCTAGGCCCTTTACGCCTGCATAAATCTGAGAGCTCCCCACCTGTGTAGTCATTCATCTTTACAAACCACAAACCCATTTCAAAGTTTCTAATCTAAATGCGTAACTCTTTACTTTTTTTTTTTTAATTAGTAGCAAAAATAATAATATTTAAATAAAATGAACTGTGTGGCCAGGTACGCCGGTGGCGCGTACGATATGTCCAAAATGGACAGGATAATGCTCAAGTTCCGGCCGATTGCTCCCAAACCGGTTTCGGCCGATGGATCCGTTTCCGGCGGTTCCAGCAGCGTCTCCGAGAGCGGCCTCGCGCGTGCCAAAACTGGCCGCGTCAAAAGACGGGGCGAGGCCAGAAAAACCCGGAGAAATAATTGTAGCAAGAGGAGAAAACCTCCGCCGGAGAAGGCCGATTCCGGAGGATCCGTTACCGGCGGCGAGGAGGTTGTGAGAACTCTGCGGCTGCTTCCGGAGGAGCCTTGTGTGATCGAGAATCGGAAGGTAGCGCCGCCAGATCTGAGTTATCCGCTGTGGTTGAGCTTCGGAGACGGGGGGATCTCGGCGGAGGTGCAGGGATCTGTCGTTCAGTCGTGGGTGAAAGTGGAGCGAGTGACGGAGGCGTGGGCGGCGGTGGGGATGGGGTGGACGGACGAGGAGAAGGTGATGGTGCTGGACGGGGACACGTGTCCGGGGTTCGTGTCGGACGGGCTGAATCGGGTGACGTGGACGAACGCGGCTTACCGCCGGATGGTGGCGGAGGAGGGGGCGGAGGTGGCGGCATGGGTGGTGGTAGAGCGGGATGTGACGCTGCCGGTGGGGTGTGCGGGGTTCACGTGCGAGGTCAGGGTTGTCACGTGCGGGGAGAAGAAAGGGAACAAAACGGTACCGTGTGACGTGTGGAGGATGGACTGCGGGGGATTTGCATGGAGACTCGACACTGCCGCCGCTCTCTCGCTTTGGGTCGGCCATTGACATTGAAATAATTAAGTTACTAATTAATGGGTTAATCTGGCGGATTATGATCTGATTAAATCTCTAATCAGAAATGAAAGAAGGCCTGGTTGATTAATCTCCAAAGTCTGACTGATCCAAAAGCCTGTTGTATAATCCTTCTCAATCTCTCCTTTGTTTTTTTTTTCTCTTTCTACTGTTTGGAAGTGTGTTTTAGATCATCATGTTTTGAGCATCCATGAGAGGAGGTTTAGTGATTATGTCGCCGGTTAGTCTAAGATCTTCTACTTTTGTTTTTAGTTTTGATGTTTTTTTCTTGTGTGAATGATAGACATATATAATTACGAAAAGGATACGACATAATAACTTGCTTTAAAGGAGAATATAGACATATAGATCGGTTATAAAAATTAGTATTGGACCAATTTTTAATTAATCAATGAAAGCAGCTGGGCTGGTAAACTGTGTTATAGTACGTTGAGTGAGCGCGTTATATGAGAGGATAAGAAAAAGCTGCAGAAACTACCAACTAGTGCGTAATTCGCTAGAAGGAGAAATATAGGAGGGTACGTGTAGTTGGACAGGTGGACGAGCTCTCACATTTTCACATGCATATGCTTCAGATCTCTCTTTTGGCATCGTTTTTCATTTTTGTTTTCTTTTTTTTTTTTTAATTTATGTGGAGGGAAAATAGATCACCATATAATGGTATTATGTCTGTTTGGTTGGATGAATTGTGTATGATATCACACCATCTCACAATATTTCTACTTTGACATTAATATTTTCATCTTATTAACATGTTTGATTCTAATAATGAAGCTCTTGAAATGAGTCATGACCTGATTAGTTATTAAGTACATTTCAATATTATATATCCCACCTTTTAGGAGAGATATGCAATGTACCATTATTTTGCTTTTGAATTTACACAAATACGGAAAACTCTCGTCTTCCACATATTTTCCAACCCTCCTAAAATATCCTTTCTCTTCCTCCTTACCACCTCTCTTTTCTTCTCCACCTGTTATTCCATTGACGGCGAAGTCCAAGCTCTTCTCCAATGAAAGTCAATCCTAAACGCCCTAGCAACTGGTTCGGCGTCACCTACAGTCCCTACAGTGCCGTCCAAAAGCTTGCCTCAAGTCTGTCGACATGCGGAGCCCACTTGTTTACGACAAGGATTTTCTCAGCAATTGGGCTTCCGACGAACAAAGACCGAAAAAAATTACAATTTCTGTTGTAGAATTTTTTACCAACTAAAGAAAAATTAGAATTTTTTATCAAAAAGGAAGATTTGTTGTAAAAATTGGGGTATTTAATTTTTCCGTGCGTTTTTAAAATGAGGTAAATATTGTCATATTAATAAAATTTTATGACATTCCTAAAAATATGATTATTTTAATACAGTTTTTAAAATGCATCTCCATATAACTAAACAACGACGATACTTTTTTATAAAACGTCATGATTTGGTTACACTTTTAAATAAATGTCTTAATATTGATTAACACGGTGACACTCTTTAAAAAGCGACATGATTTGATTACATGTTTTAAAAAACGTTGTTATAATTTTATTTTGTGACGCATTTTAAAAAACGTCACAAACACATCAATTTAATTACACTTATTTAAAAGGTCATTATATTTATTTTGTTAGAACTCCTTTTTGTTATAGTGGTTGAGAGATGAAACATAATAAAGGAAGAAGAGAAAATTTTGTCTTTGTTGGCTATGCAAAAGAGAAAAAAAGAAGAAGAAAAGATGAAATATATAATAAAAATAAGAATAGATATAGTGTTTTATTTATATTAATATAATAAGGAACAAAAAAGTTGACAGGCGTAACATTGAGAACGAAAACATCGCATTAGGAGAAATATAATTATACTAACTCCTATTTTTCTAAATGTCATTTTAGTTTTATCACAATTAATTAAATAAATGATATTTTGCATATTTTGTACATATTTTTCTATTATTAATCTCATCTAACTAATAAATATATTAGGTCTTTTAATATTCACTCTTTATCTTTTATCAAAATATTTATCTCTATCTTCATTAACGAGGATTATTATTGGTAAAAAAAATTCTTGTGGAATTTTTCAGGACGACACTTAAATAGAAAAGAGTTTATGTTAGACTTATTAAAAATAGGAGAGTTTATGCTGTATTGATGTGGTAATTTTCTCAAAAGCAGGAAATATTCAAATATGTGAATTTGTGTCATGCGGCGGATTGATTTCATGCTACCCCATGGCCCGTTGGCTGGGTAAGTCAGCAGAGTACGCATGCTCCAGAGACCAAGAGCACAGAATTCCTCTATACGCACTCGACATGATCGACGCGTGTACGCATCTGAACCGTGGGCGGAACCTGCATCCGATTAACGTTAATCTAGATTTATTGTGAACCCTTAGATATAACGGCACTAAAATCAACGGCGCATTTTAAGCCAGCTCTCTCTCTTTTATGTATGAGTGTATTACCGTGATTGCTCCTCACCTCTCTATTGCCTCGATCCCTAGAAGGAAAAACTCGTAAGTCGTCTCTCTCTCTCTCTCTCTCTCTCCATTCGTGTATATAATTTTGATTTCTTGAAATTTACCAAAATTGTTCCACTTCTAGAGTTTGCCTGAGTTCGGGCTATCCGACGCTGGAACTTCTCACTAATATTATTTTCATTTGGATGGGGCTTTCTCAATCTTTCGATCTAGGTTTTGATTTTGCTTCGCTGCCGTTTTCTCCAATCGGGCAAGAAGGATGCGAAGGACTAAGGTTTGCTTGTCTACAAGATTATTGAAGTTTAGGTTTTCGTTGGATTTCGGCATTTGTTTGATTGACATTTTAGATTTTGGGGAATAAAATGCATGAGAATCGCCCGTTGGAGTTGACTGAGAAGGCGAAGATTTGTCGAGGCAGATTAAACCATTGATTGGACTTGAGTACTGAAGGAAAAATTGTTGGGGACTGCAATCGTGACATCTAGGAATTGAAGTATTTCATCTGAAGTTGAAGAATTAAATTTTCTTTCTTGGCCAGAAGAGGAGATTTTGGGGTAGGCGGAGCCCGTTGATATGTGCACTGTTTGGAGGTTAGATTTATGGCTCCAACTATCCCCATAGATTACACTGGGCAGAGAGAATCCACACAGTTCTCCAAGAGGCGGACTGGGAGTATGATGGGGAAAACTAGGAAAGTTTCCAAGGGCAATTCAACCGGCTTTGTCCCGGATTATCGGCATGCGGTGGAGACGGTGGCCGAGTCAGAAGGTTTTGTCATCTCTGGCCGAGCTGATGTGGAATTGGCTGCTTCTGAGGACCCACGTGCTCCGAATAGGAAGTACATCAGCTTGAACATGGATGGTTTTGATAGATCAGTTGTGCCGACTCAGCTTTTTTCTCTATCTATGATACCACCTTTTGAGAGGAGGGATTTACAGATCAGGTTTAAGAGTGAGCTTGATAAAGTCTTGAAGCTTCAAAGCAAATTAGCTTCTTTTAGCTCAAATGTGTTAGCCCATCTGCCGGGTAATGTTGTTGATACACATCAATATGGGCCGAAAGGACATGCTGTGATGGAAACTTTGCCTGTGTCTTCAGGGAAGAAAAAACTCCATCCCGGAAGAAATGGGCCCCGCCCTAAAGGTGGACCTGTGGCAGCTAATAATAGAAATGAGCTTCTGAAGCAACAAAGTTTTATGAAGAGTACCGGTTTTGTCATGTTGATGAAGCAGTGTGATACACTGTTAACTCGGCTAATGGGACATCAACTAGCTTGGATTTTTAACGAGCCAGTTGACATTGTAAAACATAATATTCCAGATTACTTCAATGTTATTAAGCATCCAATGGATTTAGGGACGGTGAAAAGTAAGTTACTTTCGAATCAATATAGCAGCCCAATGGATTTTGCTGCCGACGTTAGACTCACATTCAGGAATGCCATGACTTATAACCCAGTCGGACATACTGTCCATAGTATGGCTGATGCAATGAGTAAATACTTTGAAACGAGATGGAAATCAATTGAGAAGAAGATTTCATCGAAAGCAGATGAATCAGCGCCTGCAAAATCAAGTGTCATTATGGAAACTGAGAGTGCTTATTTGCCTCCTGTTAAGAAGCAGAAAACCACTTCTACAGAAAGCAGTGTCAGGCATGAGACTGAGAAACGGGTGATGAGTGATGATGAGAGACAGAAACTGGGTACTGACCTGGAGGAATATCTGGCCGAATTGCCAGATAACATTGTCAGTTTTCTGAAAGAGAGCACCTCAAACAGTAGTCAAGTAAGTGAGGATGAGATTGAAATTGAGTTGAGTTCTCTTGGTGATGAAATTCTGTTCAAATTGCGAAAACTTTTGGATGATTTTCTTATGGAGAGGCAGAAAAAACAACCCGAGACCAGTAAAATTGAGGTACATCTTACATTCTTTTGTATGTCACCTTTACTTTTGTGCTTTCTATATGAATCATTTTATGTGGTGTATTGTATAAATGTATGGCTTCTCAGATGCAGAAGGAATCTGGGTTTGACAGTTCATCTAACCAGCCTTGCCAAGGTAACTTTCTTGTTGCAGTGAGATTGCATTTTTTTTTTTAATGGCAATTGCACTGAAAATGCATTTCTACTTTGCAGTAAGATTGCATTTCTATTTTATTTTATTTTTCTTCCAAATACATTAATCAGTATATGAGCCAGCTGACGAGGATGTGGATATTGGTATAGATGTTGCGCCACCTGCATCCAGTTATCTGTTAATTAAAACTGATGCGGATGCTGCACGGAGTAACAATAAGTGCAGCAGTTCAAGGAACTCCGGTATGTGCTGTGTGAATTTATAAGGATTGTTTATCATTGTTTTTCCCATTTTTTTTTCTTGTGCATAAGATTACTCTATGTAATCGTAACTCAGTGGTAATGCTGCATCTTTCTGACAGAGTTCTGCATATAATTGCTTAGTTACGCCCCACTCATTTGTATTGAAAAGTCACCTTTTTTAAACATCATGATATTACTAGCAACCATGCCAGTTGTGTCGAAATCACTGTTTTTCTGGAGCAGAAGTTGTAAGTCGAATAGTAGATTAAGGGTGTAATATGATCTTAATTTGCTTGAAGCATGCTTGCATTTCTTAGTATTTCGGTTAGTTCTTTGTTGAAAGGTTATTTTAAAAGTGCAGTATCACACTTGGTGCGTAATCTCATATGTGATTGCCATATATACCTTGTACACATAAATGTTGTTTTGGTTGTCTTTCTTTCTGAAAAAAGAATTACTTGTAAAATTTAACATTTTACCTCATGAAAATTTCCTGCCCAGTTGTCTGTTGCTACCTTATAGTTTAGGGAACCATAGCACTTTGATACTTGGTTTACTTTGGTTATGAATAAAGAGTTAATGGAACTTAATTAAGTCTCAATAGACAGTTTACGATCATACAACATGAATTATGTTGACCCTTCCATACGCCCCTATATTTTTATTCAATAAGATAAATCTGAATAAATGTTTAACCTCATATGCCATAATTTGAACTTGTAAAGTTTCAGTTGACTTTTGACTATTTGTGCGTATTGTTGATGACTTAGCGTTTTGCCTGCCAATGAGTCTTTTGATTCCATTGACCTCATATATGCCAGAGTAGAGAAATAGGTTTCCAAATAAGATTTGCCAATGCAATGTTTCTGTGGGAATAGAGAGATACAGAAAAGCCCCAAAGCTCTAAATCATAAGTTGCTAAACCAATTACATGGATTATAACTCGAGAACACTGTTAACTCATTAATGCATCAAGAAAGATATTTCTATGTGAAAAGGGTAACAAGTAGGTGGTGGTTAATAATTATCTCTGTTTTCCACTCACTTGCTTTTGCGTTTGCATGTGCATTCACTATTGTCTATTTGCCGTAACCAGTGTATCAATGGCGGAGAGCCGAAAAAACCCCATAAATATTTGGGGGATGGCATGGCAGAAATTGGCGTAGGGCATGGCAGATCAAGAAATATATATTTTCACACTAATTATATACATGTATAACTTCATAATAAAAACTTCAACATGTCAGAAAATACTTAAAAATAACATTAGTTACATAAGAGCTGAAAATCAATGGAGATAAATAGAGCTTAAACATAAAGGGGAGTCAGAAATATTTATATTTGTAGGACGAAAAGCTGAAAATTAAAATAAATAAAGAGCTGAAAAATGAAGGATAGAAATGAAACTCTCAGTTACTTTCTTTATTTAATAAAAGCAGCTAAATGGCCAGGCTAATGTCCGCCACGCCACACTGGTGGTAGCACTGTAATTTTATCTTTTCTTATGTATCCATGTGTGTTAATGTATCCACTATATCTCGGGTTTGCTAAGTATAAGCATGTACATCAGTGATAACCATGCACCATACATCTGATTTTATATAATCAACAGCCTGTGTTGTCGATCTTACTCATGTATGCATTTGTCCATTCTAAGAAAAAGGGTAGAGGGCAATTGTATGTTATGCAAATTTAAAAATTTATTCAAATCTCATTTCAGATACAGAAGCTGATTCTGGTCATTCTGCCTGTGAAATAGATGATGACAAGAAGTCAGTTCTTGCAACTTCTTCAAATGTATGCATTTCTTATCGACAAACCCCCCTTCTACTACTCCCACTTCTTTCTTTCACGCCTTTCTATTTTTCTGGTTATTGTTCTTAGACTAACCTTATCGGTGACCCAAATATTGGGTCACCAGCTAGAGGACAAAAAAATCAAAAAATAAAAAAAAGGAAAAAGGGAAGTGGTCGCGCGACCCAGGTCACAATGTGACCTTGGGTCGCAACAGGGTCTTTTATTTAGAATGGGACATTTGTCCTATTTTTATTGGACAAGTGTATTTTTTTGTTTTAAAAAAATAAAAAAATACTAAAATTTATATTTTATCATTCTCTACAATTAGAGACCATACTTGATATATTTTGGAACACAATTGTATTTTTTTAGATAAATTAAAACAAAATAAATATTTAGGTTGAGTTAGGTTGGGGATAAAGATAAATTAAGTTGTAAGGTTGAGTTGTGTAGGTGGAGGAGAGAGAAACTATTTTTTATTAGTAGGTTGGGTTGGGTTGAGTTGGGGATAAAGATGGTCTTATGGTGGCACAGAGGTTTCTTGAATTCTTATGAGTGTGAAATTCTTTATTCTTTTGCCTTTGTGGGCTGTTCCAGGGAATTGTGGATGCTGTTGTAAAGGAGCACCGTCAATTAAGGGAGGATCTAAATAGTGGAGGTTAGCCTCCAACTGATATGGCAAGATTAATTTTACACACATTTTTTTCTTTTAACATTTTACAAGATTATAGTTAACTTCTCCAAGCTAATTTTTAGATTCCTTGAACGGAAATGCTGATGAGCGAAATACAGCATCAAACCCTTCATCATCTATCGAGCCGCATTATAACCCAGAGGGTAAGAAAGAGTGATTACTAGTGAAGAAAATGTATTTTTTAGTCTTACACGACATGCCCATTTTTAGGGGAGGGTGCTCCACAAGAAAGGCAAGTCTCCCCTGACAAGCTGTACCGAGCTGCTCTATTGAGAAGCAGATTCGCCGACATTATACTCAAAGCTCAAGAAATTGAGAAGGTACAATGATAACTTTTATTTTCTAGTGAAACCATGTTTACTGGTTCTTAATTGCTTTCACCCCCTAAACAGCAATGGTGTTGAGTGTTGATTGTGACACTGAAAAATTTATTTTACAGGGAGAAGGACCTGATCCCGATAAACTGAAGCTCGATAAAGAAGAGCTTGAAAGGCGGAGGAAAGAAGGTCCGAATTCCAAACTTCAATTTTCCTCATCTCATTCGTGTGGAACTTGTACTTCATTTTTTCAGGATTATTCCATTATCCATGCAATTATGCTCTGACTTGTTTTATGCTTCCCAGAGAAAGCTCGATTGCAAGCTGAGGCCAAAGCTGCAGAGGAGGCTAGGAAAAAGGCCGAGGCTGAAGCTGCAGCAGAAGCCAAAAGGAAAAGAGAACTTGAAAGGGAAGCTGCACGTGAAGCTTTGCTCAAGGTAAAATACTACTGATTCTTGGAAGGGGAAAATTAGGCTTAGTGGTGAAATTATCCTTGAGGATCATTCTGATTGGGAAAACGAAATATCATAAAAAATTACAAACCTTGGTTTTTGTAAGTGTCCTTTTACAATTTCACTACCCCGAACTGGTTTACTAATGGGATGTCATAATACCTTACAAAATTTCTCTTTAGCCAATGATGCAATCAGGGAATAATTGGAACAAGGGTCTCAACTTTTGGAATAGCATTATATGTGTTCTAAAGAGTTTATAACATTGAAGGTAACTGGGGATTCTATATTTCAAGAGGGAAATTTTTGGAATTATCTGGCATGCGGAGTTTCAATATTAACCTACATCTGCTTAAGCATTGTGTTGTCGGCAGATGGAGAAGACCGTTGAAATTAACGAGTGCAGCCAATTTATGGAAGATCTGGAGATGTTCAGGTCTGGACAAGACGAGCCATTGCAAAGCTTCATAGAGGCAGCAAGCCCTGAAAATTCTCAAAATGGCCTTGGTAGTTTTAAGTTTCCAGCAAGCAGTAATCCACTTGAGCAACTTGGGCTGTATATGAAAAATGATGACGATGAGGAAGAAGAAATCGAACCTCACAGTAATTTGGATGCTTCAAATGATCCGGAAGAAGGAGAGATCGATTGACCGGCATCACTTGAAATTTATTGAAGTAATTTGAAAAATATCACAATAAATATCCTTTCTGAATGCTAGCTTTCCTGTTAATGGGAAGTGTATGGGGATGTCTTCTTGGGCACTCTGATTGGAATGTTTAATTCTGTATAAAAACTGAGCAGAAAGGCCGGCTCATAGCTTGGAACGTAGTCCTCCAAGAGTTCTTGATGGCTGACCGGTTTCTGTTTATAATTTGAATGATTTCGAATCAGCTTTGGTGTATCTCTCGCAATATTTCTTTTCCTTACATTTTGTCTTTTGCTCATCTGTGTTTCAGCTCCTGTACATCCCTAATTTTGTTTTGTTCCTATTTCTTGCTTCCTTTGTGAGTATTTGGATCTTTGTGTTTAGAAATGGAAGATAGAGATTAGATGGTGTGTTGGAATTGCAGCAGATACAGCTTTTTTTTTAGGAAGCAGTTTTTGTGCTTTGTATCGGCTGAAAGAGCACATGCTTGCCATTTGAATAAAAAAGTCTTTTGAGTATATATTTTTTTTTTTTTTTCAAACGATAAGACAATAATTAACCTCAAATAAAAGTACACCGTAAATATAAGGGTAGACTACCTACACCCCAACTCACAACCGTACAACTACAAATACACACTAAGTTTAACAACATCAAAGGAACAAGAAGAAAAAGAAACCGAACAACTACAAATACACACTAACACACTAAGTTTAACAACATCAAAGGAACAAGAAGAAAAAGAACCAGCAATTACAAGGACTTCCAAAGCATCTTATTCAAAGCATCTGTTACCCTCTTGATGTTGGTCCAGTACACCACATCCCTCCACCCTTCTTTTCTTGCCTCACTTAGGATCCATTTAATGCTAGCTACTTCATCCTCAAGATCATTGTTGTGAGAACTTGCTGCTGCTTATGTTAATGGCTTCGTTTACGTCTTTCAACTGATAGAACATATTTTTCAATGTTTGAGCGAAAAATTTTCATGGGTCTGATTTTCATCAAATCTGAATTTTGGTGGTAGTTAGAAGTCGAGACAATATTTTTATCCGAACAACCTTGAGGCGATTGTTGTCTTCTTTTTTTTTTCGATTTATTTATTTTTTATTTATGCTACTTGGTAAATCGGACGAACCTGCTTATGATCAAGACTATTATTTTTTTGTCATGAATTCGAACACTTTTTAAGACTGAAAAAAAAAAAATTGATTGAAACTAACAACACGGCCTGTTTTGATCATAAATGCAAAATGTTTAATAATTCAGATTTCATAATATAAACCGTGTATGGAGCATATTCATGTTTGTCATGAACCTAATTTTACAGCTTGCGCTTGCACAAAAACATGATCCACCGACTCATTTCACAACAACAAACACATGATCCACCGACTCAATTTCACAACAAACGCAACGCGAAGCAAGCTGAAACCTCTCAATTACATTGACCCCGAACCTAATTTTATATATTCATAATCAGTGATGCCACATTGAGGCTCTCCATTGGAATCTTCTTCAGTGACAGGGGAGTACATATAAACCAAACATAAATATATGCCATCTAATGTAAGCTGGTATTTTTCTTCTTCAGCACCCGCAAATACCACAGAGCTGGTAATCCATTT